TTTTTTTTTTTTTTTTTTTTTTTTTTTTTTTTTCCGGTTCTTCATGCCCATTTTAAAATTTCCTGACCACATGTAACGATCGCTCTCCGCACATCAAATCATGAATCGTCACATGGACTCAAGGTTAAAATCCAAAATAGTTTTCAAGACATAACGGGATTCGCAGAGTCACATAACAAAACAAATCAGTTACAAAATAGCAAAAATTTTCCCAAAATAAACATCAAAATGACATTAAAACGACATGGAAAGAGAGGACTCGATCTAAGGGTCTCCTTTGCAGCTGCATGGCTCCGCACGTTCCCGCTTCCGACATCGGTCTACTTAAAACCTAAAAATAAAATAGAAACATGGGATGAGTAATACAAAAATACTCAGTAAGCAACCTAATTGTAGGCTCTTATCAGACTTAATTCTATTCACGGAAACTTTGGCTATGTGCTTGAATCTATCTCTAGCAAAGTCTACTGTGGTCTCAAAAGAAAACCCTATGGATTCTCATTGATACATATCTCTTTTCCATACCTAACTATCTACTGAGCTCAAATTAGTGGATTCCCCCTAGGGGTGCCTTGCATCAACTACCTGTTCCTACGAATCAGTAACTAACTACCACTACGCCCTGCCGGGCTAGGTCAGTAAACTACCTGTCTTACGCCCTTGTCGGGTTTAGATTAGTAAAAGGCTATGGCTCTCTCCACTAGGCACCCTGACCAATAGTATACTCACTATGACCACCCATGATATGAATCACGACCAAGGAATTTCCATACCTCAAGGTCCAATTACAAGGACGAGAGCTAAGAAGCTACGACAAACCTTATACAGTTATATTTAAGCTATGGTGAGCTCATCAAAGAAAATTTTAAAAGACGCTGGAGACCTTTCTTATATGTTGTGCAAAGTTGAGTTTCAAGAAAGAGATGAATTAAATGCTAAGTTGCATTTAAGTAACTCCGCTGAATTTATGAAACTAGTCCAATGATGAGTCAATAAGCACATTTTATTATTGCATTATTTAATTATAGTTTAACTCTTTGTTTGTCATATTTAAACTAGTTTTAAATATAGGAGTTAAGGTTATACTGTAACCCACATATTTACTATATTCCACCATTAACTAGCCATTTTAAGTTATGGGTATTTTTCATTTACTAGCCCATTTAATTTGAGAGTTATATATGTAACCCACATATTTACTATATTCCACCATTAACTAGCCATTTTAAGTTATGGGTATTTTTCATTTACTAGCCCATTTAATTTGAGAGTTATATATCACATACGTTAAGGTTGTAAGGGCTATATAAAGTCTTCTTTTCTTGGATTAGACATCAGATTTTTGAACTAAGAATAGAATTTCTATTTTAGCTTTGTTGAGAGCTAAACTTTCTTTGCAAATTCTTGTGTTTAGAACTTGCATGTACAGTCATTCAAATGGTATTGATCAAACCTCTTGTGGAGTGATTCAAATCACGAGTTTAGAAACGAGTTTTCTTTACTCTTGATCTTGATCATCAAGGTAATTCGTTCCATACTTTCCCTTGGGTTGATTTTCCATATCATTTGGTATCAGAACTTCAAGCTCAAGATCGAATATATG